TCAGTCTCCTCCAGGCTGCACTGGATTGGGATTGTTGTTTCAGGGTTATTACCAGAAACCCAAGCCACACTGAGCCCCCAAACCTGGTGATGGGGTTCAATAAATTGCCACGTGTGAGGACAGCACAGCTCAGGAGGCTGCTCTGAAGGGCGCTCAAGTACGAGGCTTGTCACAGCACCTGCACCTGAGGGAGGAGATAAAAACTCCATTAGCAGCCAGATAAGGAACATCCACATGTCACTGTCACCCCCTGCTCACACACATCTTTCCCCAGTCGGGCTCCCAGCCCAGCCCTGGTGTGTGCCGTGGGCACTGGGAAAGCAGCAGCTCTCAGGGCAGGACGTGTCTTCATCTCTATTTCAGCAATTCAGAGCCGCTGGCACTCAGAAATGATGCTCTGGATGCAGCTGTGGAGAAGGAAACCGGCACAGGGACAAATGGAGGCCTCCCCATTGCCATTTTCCTTCTTCCTGTTATTCCCAGAATGGCTGGGCTGCTCTGACAGTGGAAACACTTTGGAATTTCAAACCTTCTGGTTTGTTTTTTTACTTCCTCTGAGGTTCACATCAGTCCTGTGCAACCTGAAGGACTGGCAGCTGTGCAAGCAGAGCAATCCTTCTTTTCAGCTCTTTGGATACAGGACTGACCTCCCTCTCCCTGCTCATTGCAGGACACTGAATGGGAATTTTATATTAAAAAGCCATGACTTTACTCAGGTATCAAGTGTTCGTGGAGTTGCAGTTATTGAAGAAATCTTTGCTGTTAATACTCAACTTCTATGAAATTATATGTATATATATATATATATTTCATAAAATAGAATTGTGTAGGCTGGAGTTTGTTTTCAGTTTTTAACTGAAAGCCAACTCAGTTCATGATTTTTTATAAAAAATTAAGAGTCAACCTTCATTCTGACACAGTCACATCCAATCTCAGATGTCTCCTGTTGTATTTCCCCTGTGGCTTCACAATCTAGAGATAAAAATATGTCAATTGCAGCTGCAAATATACCAAGTGAGAGTCCATCATGAAAGAATAAAAATTGGCACTGATATCCTTGCACTGCATAGTGAAATTTGTGCACAATTTATATATTTCCCTGCTAATGTCTAATTGTTTTTAATCTTGTTGGTCGGCTCCCAGTTTCCATGACCAGCAGCAGATTCAACACATTCATCTGTGGTGGTATCTGCCCATAACACTTATTGTTAAAAAACATGGCAATGACTGAGCAGGAAAAACACCTTGTTCAGGAAATGGAAACGGCTGGATGTTGTGCAGAGAAATAAATGAATTTTTTGTTGGGTATAACTGGGGTTGTTTTGTATGGTTTGCATTCTGAGGACTAATGTTTTCTGCCTGTAATAATTCTTTGTATCCCAAAGATACCAATTTGTTAATCTGATTTAAAACCACGTGGACTTTTCTTCACATCACAATTCAAATTCTGCTTGCAGAGTATTTAATGTGGGTATATGAATGCCTAAATTCTTTCTCTGAGTCACTACATGCAAAGCTGCAAGAGTTAATGGTTTGCTGTGTGCTCAGTGCAGATGGTTTTGAGCAGCTACATAGCTTCTCTTCCACTGGACGAGTCATTTCTCCCATTGCTGAGTAACAAATCTGATATTTTGCCATGATTCCCGAGAAGCTCAAGATGGCTCTGAGCAATCACCAGCAGCTACTCATGAGCTACAAACTGAAAGGCAAATGGAGGAATATGTGCAGTCACAGAGCATATCTGACCTCTGACTCTGTCTTTATTCATCTGCACTAATTTTCACACTAAAATGTTTTTGTCTCTATTAAAAATATATGTCTGGATAAATGAAATAAACCACTCCCCCAGCTCCTTTTGAAGCATTCCCTGCAGTTGCCTTATTTCCCAAGGGATATATTAATAAATCTTGCAAACTACCATGCACATTTGTTGAACTAGGGATAAATTTGACCATCTGCATGTTTCCACCTGGAAGAATTCCCAGACTATTACAGGGCAAATTCTTCCCTACACTGACCAGAAAAGGAGGATTTCTGTTCCTCCACAATTACTGCCTCATCTAAGAAACAAGCTTTATTGTATTTGCTTTCCCGTATTCCTAAATGAACATTGGTGTATTTTATGTTTTTTCTCCATTTCAAATTAGCCCTGAGAATCAACTGAGTAAATGAAGAGCTGCTGCACATGCTTTTATGAACAGAAGTGTCCAGTAAGTGGCACTGCAGGACCAGGAATTTCAAACCCCGGGTTGAAAACAGTGCAGAATGAAGGGAAATGTGAGAGATGTCAAGACTTCTCTGCTCCATGAAAAAAATAGTGGGGAATGATGTGATGATGTTCCCAAAGGCACATGCAGGGATCTGGGCTGTTTTCAGCAGCTGGATCAGGAATAGGATGTCAGGAGCTGGCCTTGGCACCAAGCTGGCTGTTATCAGGGCTTTGCCAGAAGAAAGCAGCACATTTCTGGGAATGATTCATTAGCACTCGATGGGAGGTGCCTGTGAAGGCTCTGTGCTGGGTTTTGCTCTCAGGAGCAGAATGCTGGGCAAGGTGAACCACGTATACCCAGCATTTCCTGTGCTTTCCTGACGTAAAATACATTAATTTTATGTAGAAGATCCAAACTTCAGACTGGGGCGTTGGTACACACTGAGAGAGTTCAAGGATTGTTTTTGTAAATGAGCCAGTGATTTCTGTGAGTCTGTGGCAGTGCATCAAATGCCACCACCCTGTCTTCCCAGTCTCAGCTGATAAGGAATAAATGATTATCTTGGGAAATTTGATCAAACAGGCAAGTAACACAACATTTCTTGGCAATATAAATTGTAATGAAACTCTTATATAAGCTGATAGAGTGTTACTTACAAAATCACTTGAATGCTTTGGCTCCATCTGCAATATTTGAACTCAGTTCCAGGTTACTCATGCTCTACTGTGCCAAACTAAATTAATGCATACTCAATTTTCCTCTTTCTCTAGATGCAGAGTTATATTGGATAAGAATGGAAGGGAATGAAGATGAAAAGCCAATCTGCATTTAGAAGGGACATAAAGCTGTGTTTAAAGGAATAAACCAGCCTTTCAAAGGGATTAGGAAGCCATTTCCTCTATGATGTGGCTATTTTATAAATGTCTCATGTGGGACCATTGGTGCCAGGAAAGATCCATGCCAGCTCTCACAGCACCTTCAAACAGACCTGACATTTTTTTTTCATCAGCATCTAGGGACCAGATATTGATTAATCCTTTTACTTTCACCTCCTAAGCCTTTTCTGTGGCTTTATTAATAAAAATAATATTTTTAATAAAAAAATAAAATAATAATTTTTAAAAAATAAAAAAATATTCATAAAAATATGAGAACAAAGTCTGTCAGCACACCAATGACAAAATCTGTCACCTATGACAAAACAGGACACCAGAGGACAACTGGGCACATCACAACATGCAGATACACAACCAATATGGAAAAACCCTTGACACTAGGCCACAACCTGGTGGATACAACTGAAAGCTGACAGAAATACCTAGGGAGAAGTGAGAGATTCATAGAGGCAGGAAATTCTTGGAAAGGTATGGAAAATGTCTAGAAAAACACAGAAAAGTCCAGGAAAACTACAGGGAACTCATAGAAAAATTATGGGAAATCCTTAGAAAGGAAAATTGGATTCTTAGAAAACTGTAGAAGAACTCCAGGAAAGCAAAATGTGAGTTCTGAAAAAATTTCCTACAAATTCCCAGGCAGCTGGAGGGAATTTTGTATGAAGTGAGGAGGAATTGCTATAAGGCAGTGGAGAAATC